CTTTAGCTGCTTTGTCGCTTACAGTTGTTTTAACACTGTTTTGGCGACTTTCTTTGTTACACATGCATACACATATAACTGTATATAAAAAGATACACTATATGTATTAATTTAAAAGGGTGCTTGAACTTTCCCCGCTGGTAACTTAAATGGGTGTCTAGGGAAAATTTCCCTTCTACTGTCATCTAATGTCTAATTAGCCCATAGATTTATTTTATTTAATTTTCATTAAAATCCTGATCCACTCATGATTGATAGTTTCCTACCTCTTCAACCACCTAAAAACAGCATCCATCTAGTGTTGAGTATTTTCAAGGAAATATATTGGTAGACTTTTTGTCCAAAAGAGTATATTAGAACATATATCAATATATTTTATTCATTGTCCTTAGGCTTCCCCATCATTGGAATCAAAATAAGCGAAAGTAACCTATTACCCATGATACTAATATTCTTTACAGTAAAGTGGCAATGTGACAGAAGAGGACCATTAAATCAGCTTATTTCAGCTTTTACTCAGGTTGTTCTTTATGTTTAACACCCAAAACAGTTTCTTACTTTTTACTGAATATCACTTTGGATTCACTTTGTTTTGAGGTTTGGGTAAACTGTGTGTCAGGAAACATTAAGGATATCAGTGTGCTAATGGTGACAGGCTGACTAGCACAATTGGTTTTCATCTAACTTGGTTAGATTTGCAGGCTTTTACATGTGCAGTGTGACAGGGTCCTGTTTAATTTTGCATGTGTGTTTTTGGGGTCGATGGTATTGCTGATTATCCAAGAAAGAGTAGTTGGGATGAAGGTTGTGAAAAGTCAGTCTTTCTAAGGACTACTCTCGCTCAGATAATCAGACTTCATGATAGAATTTTACTCCCGAGTTTAAAACATTTACTGTACAGTTATAAGGATTAGTTGAGACATACTTTTAAACCACTGCTTTAAGGTGTAAAGGACAAAACTGTAGAAAATTACCTAAAGTTTTGGAACTAACAAACAAAATTTTTTTTGTAATCTTCTCATCCCTCAGCACCACCAATCTGATGTCTGCCAGACACTCAACGTTTTCACCTGGATTCAAACCATAAACTGTACATTTTAATTTCTATTTAAGTACCACACATTACTTATCTTACTTACTATGTCTAATTTAACATAAATTACAATACTGACACGATAACATTGCTTACAGTACTAACAAATTACTCTTTTTTTATTTACTATCTTGTTAGTACTTTACTATTTACAATGCTTATAATTGCAATTGCAAATAAAAAACCATGGTTGAAAATATTCATAATTGTATGGTGTCGTCATAATTTCCTCCTATTTGAAAACCCTGCAATCTAGCTTAGGCAAGAAGGTGTTTTTTAAAAGTTACATCACATAATCAAGAGCAGGGGGACATTCTATCTGCGCATGCACGAGATTTGAGTTTCGACGAGTTTAGACGCTGGTGCGCGCCCGCACAAACTCCCGCTCGAAATCCCGCCTTCCTTCGAAAACTGACACGAAGTTGTGTGCAATGGCGGTGCAAACATTTTTTTTTCGTTTTGCAAGTGTGTGCACTAATTTTTATCGTAAATGTGACGGAAAGTGTAAAAAGGTCGAAGCATGAGTGTATAATCTGCGGGAGAAAGTCTCAGAAAACTCCATTTCGTGGTGTAGACAGGCAGTCAAACGCCAACTTGGAAGCTTCTTTTGGTTTCCTCGAGAAAACATCGGGAGACATTGTGAAGCCTGCAGAAAAGCTCTCCAACAGTACGGAAACAATAGGAAGACATTCCACCGCGTTAGTGTTTTCACGCGTTTAATTTCTCTAATCTCACGTACACATCTGATGCGAATATAAAGATTGAACGCTGCCCCATGCGGCTAGAACTACAGAAGTGTTATATTTTCATTGATAGTGCCAAGCTTTATTTGTAAACAAGTCAACGATAGATGTAAAACAAACATTTTCAGTGGGCTTGAAGAGTAGAATCCTTCTAAAATTTGGTATTTATCTTTTCTTCAAATTATGTTCGGTTGAATCTCAACCAACCCGGAAGAGTCCCGAAGAGAAGAGGACCAGTCCTGTCAGTGTAAGGTTCTGAGTGTGTAGCTAGTGTGTGTAGCCAGTGTGTGTAGCCAGTGTCTTAGCTAGTGCAGATAATGATAGGGAGATGGTAGTTATACCAAAGGAGACTTTTTTAGAAATGAAGGAAAATTTGAAGATTTTGTCGCAAAGTAAGTAAAATCGCATGCTTGGTCTGCCTTTGAATTCCACTTTCATCTGTAATCACTAGTGTAATTAATTAGTTGAGTGTAGACACCATCTTTAATAATGAGCAAAACTGTGATGCCAGGAACCTTTACATTTAAGGATCATTTTAAATTTTGAGATAAAAGGTCTTCAAAACTAAATAATGTATAAACAACAAACCAGCAAGAAGAAATTTACAACCATAGTTGCTTCCAGGGGCAGTGTAATTTTGAGCAAGAAATTAACAATTCCAAGCCTCTGAAATTTAATATTTGGCTAGATTTACTCCCAAACTCTAGTATAACACAACTTCCTACCACTAGTCAATGCCCCCCCCCCTCCCAACACACTCCAAGAAAACTGTTACTGTCCCATTCATATCACTAGCCCTCTTTGATAAGTAGCAGGGTAGTAGTGGAAATTAATTAGTCAACAGACAGGCAGACAATTTACTTCTGGACTGCTCTTTGAAGCAGCCATGCATCAATCTCCAAATTTACAATTTTAAATAAATAAATACTGATGGAGGGGGGTCGATCAGATGAATTAGCTTCAAATTAACCGATAAAACAAAGAAATAAACAAGTTAATAAAGATACATTTGAAAAAAAATCCAGACACTTATAATGTTACTAAAACTTGTAAAATGGTACAAACAATAGTATACAATAGCCACCTTACATACATGTACAAGCATTATTTATCCAGAGTCTATAGTTCACTTGATCAGCAGGGATTTGCTAAAGCAAAGGCATAGAAAAAACCAGGAAAGATTTATTACTCGACGTTTCGGGGTCATCGTGACTCCATTATCAAGAGACTAGTTTAAAAACATGCAAATAAGGAAAGGTACAAGAATAGCATAAATTAGACTGAACGGCTTAAACAAACACCTTGGCGCGGATGGAATCCGTTTGCACGTTCAGTGTTGGCTTACGCATGCGAATATACAACATTTCATTAACAAGGCAATCAAATTTGCCGTTACATTTCGTGATGACGTTGAATTGCTCGATCAAGCGTTCAGGCATTTCACTATTGTGCTGGAGGTGGTAGTGTTTGTAGATAGAAGATGATTTCCTT